AATGACGGTGCGCATTGAATTTTTCGCTTACCCTGGCCCAAGATTTGGACTATACTCACAAAGGTGATCTATTTATCAAACAACTTATTTTAATATATAACAAATGATTTTTTACATATATATGTATTTTTCGCTAACTAGTGATTCTGAAATGTGCAGCTAATGATTTAGATGAAGCGTAGTGCATATAATCGGTTTGTTTTATAGAAATTTAACTCCATCGTTATCCGAATTATGTACATCGATGTATATATATGTGAGCCGAAGTTATAGTCAAAATAAAGTCGACTCTAAAGTTAGAAGCAGCTTTTTGACGTAACTTTCAATGGAATATCTTTTAGAGTCGACTTTGTTTTAACTATAACTACGGGCCTTTTTGTTTTTAAAGTATTATGTAACTAATTAAGAATGCCTTCCGAGTATATTTGTAATTTCTAACAAACTTTTGAATATGAGAAACAAGAATTCTTCTACCGAGAATCTCCGCTGGGTATTAGAATTGCAGAAAAAAAGTTCGCTATTCAAAAATGGCATGTGGAACCAAACTAAATGAGTATCGCAATGACATCGGTATTTTATAGTGCCCAAATTGATTATTAAATACAACACCCAGTGGAATGTCGGCCTAAGCGCGTGCTTCAAGTGACATATTATATATATATATATTTTAATATTGACTGGAATTATAATATTAAAAGGTTGTAATCATTGAAACGATATGAAAATGCGTTCAAAGTTTGTTTGAAAAGATCGTTAGGCATAAGTTCTCAAGAGCGCGTGCCGAGTCAAGTTTACAAGTACATTGATCTTATGATAATTTTCTACAGCCGAGTGTGCGCATTAGGGTGGGCCAAAAATGCATGTGAAAAACTAAGGTCGGAATTGTAATGCTCTCACACCCTAGAATTGTTCTATATCGAAAAAAAGTATACCCGAATTTTTTTATTTTGAAATCAAAAAATATTTAAAGGTCGCTCAAAGCGCCCAAAGTTGTCCATGTATTTTATATGGGGGAAAAAACAACTTTTCGTAGAAACGGTATATAATTCTTAATAATCAATATTTTGCTATCACCAAAACCCTGTTTACATGCAGGAGGTTCCCAATAATAATATTCAATTGTTTATTTAACCATTTTTTAATACTTAAAATATAGTTTGAGCGACATTTAAATATTTTTTGATTTCCAAATAAAAAATAGGGGTATATTATCTTTCGATACAGAACAATCCTAGTTGGTGAGAACATTAAAATTCCGACTTTCCTTTTTTTTGGACCACCCTAATGTGCATACATATGCATGTGCAATTGCTATAAGTATGCCAAAAATTAGCATTACAATTGTAATTGAAGCAGCCCAAACGTTCCGTTTTTTTTTTTTTTTGTTTTGTGTTTATGCTTTTACGCTTGACCGGCTAGCTCCATTGACACTATTTCATTGCCATTTATATTTCAGTTCAACAGCCACTTGATGGTTGTTCGGTAGCAATTAAAGTAAATCAAAAGTAGAGTGCAACTAAAACAGAAACACAACCAGTATTTGCGCAATAAATGTTCTGGGCCAGGTGAAATTTCTTATTTAAATTTACCAACATTTTTCTAATTTCTAGTTTTAAGTGAGTCACATAAAGAAGAAACGCGTGTCTAGAATTTAATATAAGTATTTAGTGGATTTTCTACTACCAAAACAATTTCCTGGCTATTTTCGTTGCGTTGTGTTAGCCACACCTGCGGGCAAGTAACTAATAATCACGAATGTATTTAGTATTTTGTATACTTTTAGGCGTTTAAAATATGTATGTAAGTTACCAATATAAATATGTGCATGCAAATAAAATATGTAGGTGCATTAGGATGCCTCACAAAAAAAGTTGTTGATGCCTCACGGCATTTTACGCCATTAACTTTTTAGCTACAAACTGCTTTCCAGCAAAAACTTTTGCATGCCGCAGACGTGCATCAAACATAAAAAAAGTCTACGCGGTTAATTTGGAGCAAAAAACGATAAGCTCAAGGCTGCAAATCACTTAATCGATATTATAAGCCGAAAAATGCCTCATCCGATACAATAGTTTTATTTTTTTTTTCAACAAAAAACAAATTATGCAAAACAGTTGATTGGCGGTTCAACTGAATTAGCTAGCCCAGCTAGGGTTGCACTTGGTTTTCAGCTCGTGTTAAAAATTGCCCGTTTATGCTCACTGGCTCTAACCGTGTTGAATTTAACTGAATAGAAGTGAAGTCGTTTAAGTACAAAACCGCGTATCAATAAAATGCAAAACCGCGTATGTCAGATTGCATAAATTATTTTCTAGAACACTCATATTTCAAAATGGTTCCAAATCGGCAAGTAAATGCAATTTTTAGGATTACCCCGGCCCCAGCGCCACCTAGCGATGAAATTTTTAGTCGAAATATTTCACTTCAAGGTGCTGACATATGTTCCAAATGTGAACGAAATCGGTCCAGCCGTTTAGTAGTTTAGTGACATTCAATATACTGAAAACTCTATGAAATTGTGAAATCGTGACGTCTCAGCATTCTTCATTTTTCGGCAACAACAACAAAAAATTTCAAATTTTTTTTAAATCGAAAAACCTTCCACACAGTAGGTTCAAAAAAGTACTTTTTACAGAATTGAAATCGGTTCAGCCGTTTGGTCAGGCATCGTTGTCATACGAAAAACATTTCATTTTTATATATAACAATTATCTAAACAAAAAAAAATAACAAAATAGCCGAAACTGGTCACAATGTCGTGTCCCTATTATTTTTCACATGACTGTATGTGGGCGTGTCCAACCCCGCCCACTTTTACATATAACAATTTTTACTCATAACAGACCTTAGGGTAAAAATTGTATCCCGATATGTCCATTAAAAGTATTTTTGGCCGCTCTCCCCATATAAATGCAACCACTGTGCATCGGGAGGGAGAAAGGTATTTAGTCGCCGCTGCTATGCCGTAGCCATTCGGAGTATGTATTCTATTTCATCTCCTCCGCAGTAGTTGCTTCATTTGCGTGTATATGCGGTTTCCTCTTCACTATGCGCGCTCCAATTGAAACATTCACGATTGTCTTTAAGGACTATGGGTATTCAGACCTTAAAAAAGAGTGACCTTTATTATAAAAATGGTTTTATTAAACGGTATTAAATGGTGTTCAAAAATGTTTGCCCGGGGCTTTCATAAAATTTCATGGTCGTAAGTACTTTGGTTGTCGAGATATTTAAATTTTTGTTGCTCGGTGGTACACTTGTACCACCTCTTTGTACACAAGAGTTAATGAAATGTTGAATAGGCTGGCCTTTTGTAACCTTTTTTTTTTTGGGCATTAAGCTTTTTATTTGGCCGATCTAGCTTTTTTATTTTTGAAGTCCAGACAACACTGATGCTTGATATGAAAATATAACACACACACGCACATGTACGTGCATACCTACATACATATATACATACATACTTACTTATAAGAATTATTCGTAGGAATTTAAACACATTCTTACTAAAAATCAAAACAAATAATGGACAAAAATAAAGCATACGTTGTGTATACATACATACATATAAGTTTGTCATAATACATGGTACACACTTATCGATGTATGTATGTATGTATGTATGTTTACATATATACAAGGAAATCGAATTGCCTGCTCAACAGGTTAAGCTGCTTTAATAGTAATAATAATACTTTGGCGCTTACACTTTAGCTAAGTTTTTGGCCGAGCTTCTCATCCAGTTTGTGACGTGCGTCCTGATTTTCTAGCACAAATGGCGGGGCTTACAATTTTAAGCAGCCTCCGAACGGTGTTTTTAATTTAGATGTTGATTGGGCCAGGAATAGAACTTGGGGATTACGGAGTGGCAGTAAGCACCTCTAACCACACAGCCACAGCGGCCGCCCCCGTTTTAGTTGCTTTAACGACATGAAATTTAAAGACTATTGAAGAAATGAGGAAGCCAATTTTCTCAGACTGGATTTAACGATTATAAAAGCGTATGTTATACATATGTATGTACATATATTGTTTACTGGTCAATAATCAACGGTTCATTTCAGGTAAATATACTACACACATAAATAAATACAAGCACATGTATGTATGTATGTATGTAAATGCGCCTAGAGTGAGTAATAATGAATTTGTGTTTTTGCGAACCCCCCTGCGAAAACCGCGACTACACCAAAGAGTACTCTCTAAGGGTCTAGGAGTGGACCAAAATTTACAGAAATGTATATAAAAACATAGTCCAATTAACATGGCGATGTATGTCCTAGGGGAGCACCATATATTCCAACGGTGCATTACATCAGAGTAGCACAAAACTACTCCAACGGATTACTGGTGTACCTAAATACTTGGCAACACAGCTCAATAAACATCGTATAGTGATTGTGATTGTGGGGATACTCCAAACACGATATTGATATACATAAATACTCGTAATCAGCTGTCCATGCCGTTAACAAATAGTGGTGCGCACCACTTTTGCCCCTGTGGTAGAATCGCTTACCTCATCAACACGTTTTAAATTTTCGCACCATCACACAAAGCGAGCAAACGTGAATTGCAAATGACAGTCAAAATAAAGCAAAGAAAAAAAAACTTACGTATCTGCATACATAAGTAATACAAAACATGTTTATTGCTTAAGCTATAGCGCCTGCCGACTTCATCATTTGCGCGGCCTGCGCGGCTCAGACGCAGCTCAGCTCAAGCCAATGGAACATTTTTCAAACCACTTTTGTACGAGAAAGTCCAATGTCTGTTAGCCAGCGCGTGAAAGCAGCGTTAATATTTATGTTTTAACAAAATTTGAATGTACACGCGTATATTTTTCGAAATAGCTATCTGTGAAAGCGGGCATATAAAAAAAATGAAGTACGGATACTAAACGGAAAAATATTGATTTAAGTAAGAAATATCTGAGCTGTTATCGCGAAAGATGAATCACTCAAAAACCGGCCGTTGACAGCGATATCGTGTTAAATGAAATTGCAAACTAATACAACAACTATATATGTATGTACATACATAAAAGTATAAGTGACAACAATACAATCGAATCACCCAAGTTCTGGGCAAGATGATACTCATCTCAACGCTAATCGGCAATTGGGAAAAGCTAACAGTCAGCAGTCATGCCAATTTGGCGGTGCTGATGTTTCTCTTTATGGTTTGCGCTTTTGAGGTGGTTCTGTTGAAGCTAACCACTATCGGTTCCAGCACAGCGAACGGCTTTGGACGCAGCAACACAGAGGATGATGACTCGAGTGAATACGAGGAGGATATTTACTATGAAGACTTGCGTAACAATTACGAACGCTGGGCGCGAAGACAAATGCGCTACCGGCATCGAGTGCAGCGGCAGGAACAGGAAATGCTGCGCCGATTTCGTGAGCAAGAGCAGCAGCGACAGCGAAATCAAGGGGGCATTTGTTAAATATGCGCTAAATATTTGCGGTGGAGGCAATCAAAGTCGGGTACATAATGCCGGGCCCAGGGCAAGAGCGAAAAGATGAGCAACTGTGGGTGCAGTGTCGGCGAAGAATGTGCAAAAATGTGACTGAGAAACTATTATACATATACATACGTACATATACATAAATATGTATGTAAGTATGCATACACTATAAGAAAACTATTTGCTAAAATAAAGTTATAAATCCATAGTATGTACGAATATTGGCATGCATTTTTATGTCCAGAAATTTTTTTTTTGTCGTAAGTACCAAAAATCCTATTCTGTTCAGCTACCAAAAATCCGGGTAGGTACATGAAATGTTCGCAAACATAATACATACATAAATTTGATGGCCATTTTACAACATTTTTTTTATTATTATTCAATCCTGAACGGTTTACCGACTATCGCGATAAAATTTTGGCGACAGTGATCGAGTATGCTGCAATGATTTCGTACGTTGGTTATATAGGTGGCACAGGAATGGATATTTTTGACAGGCAGTTTATGCTTCGTTTGTGAGTTTATACCTGCATATGTATGTATGTATGTATGTATGTATGTAATACATATTTATGTTCATACATTTATAAAAATCGTTGCATCATTTTATTTATTTATTTATTTATTTATTTTAGTCTACAGAAAAATGTTTTCTTACAGACAGTTGAGATAAAAAGATTTAGAATATTTAAGTATGTGTGATACATTACAGAGTGAAATAATTATAAATATTAACTTGTAAAGATAACAATGATATTCAATAGCAATTTGGGTNGTGTAATGCCGTAGCGGACCAACTCGTGTCTCTACACCAGCTTATTGTTACCCGTTTATTGCCCGTATTTTAACGATCGTTATCACTATACGATACGATGTTTATTGGGCTGTGTTGCCAAGAGGTATGTAGGTACTTCATGGAGTAATCCCTTGCAGTAGTTTTGTGGCACTCTGATGTAATGCAGAGCTGGAGAATATGGTCGTGCCCTAGGACATCGCAATTCCAATTAGACCACATTTTTATATGCATTTCGGTTAATTTTGGTGGATTCTTTGACCCTTAGAGAGTAACTACTATTTATATGCCTGCATGGAGTAATAATAATAGATTGGCGCTTACACATTGGGTTTAGCCGAGCTTATCCTCCGATTTGTGGCGTGCGGTTGGATGTTGTCACGCACAGGTGAGGGACCTATAGTTTCCCTGGAAACTGATAATAGAATCGATAACAAAATCGATAAATATCGATAACAAAATCGATGAATATCGATAACAAAATCGGTAAATATCGATAACAAAATCGATAAATATCGCTAACAAAGTCGATAAGAATCGATAACAAAATCGATAAATATCGATAACAAAATCGATGAATATCGATAACAAAATCGGTAAATATCGATAAGAAAATCGATAAATATCGATAACAAAATCGTTAAATATCGATAACAAAACCGATAAAAATATCGATTATTATATCGATAAGTCTCGAGAAACCCGAAAATCTCTAAAATCCCAAAACAGTTCCCAGATTGAGTCTCTGTGTCTCTCTCTATATCCTTTCCTCTTTAATTACTTTTATTTTAATCTTTCTTCCCTTATCTTCATCTTTACTTTTATCGGTATCCTCATCCTCCTCTTTGTCTTTATTTTTATGTTTATCATTTCCTTCAGATACATATTCCCCTTCACCTTAGCCCTTATATAAGTGAAGTGTTTAAATTTACCTTGGTCTTCATTTTTGCCTATATCTTTACACATCTTTGTTTTTGTTTTTATATTTACCTTTACCTTTATCCTTTTCTTTATCTATGTACGTACTCACCTTTACTTTCATTCTTGTATTGGTCTTTTTCTAAGTGTTATTCTTTAACCTTTTATTCGCAAATTTTTGTTAAATTAATACCATATGCATACACACAACAAGCACTTGTTTCAGTCCCAACCATTTCCGTTGCACCATTCCCATTGCACCATTTCCGTTGCATCATTTCCGTGTGCAATTTCCGTTGAATTTGCCAATTTACTCCCAACCAACCAACTGCCGCTAAAAGAGTTTCACTTCAAAACATCTTTCGAAAAAACTGATTTACTCGAGCTCAAAATATATTCGATAAATTTAATTTCTCGAGTTCGTCTCGAATTCGATACGATGCCACCCTCTGTTTTTTTGTTTATTGGGTTTCTATTTCTGCAACAACTTCCACATTTAAATTATGCAACACAAGCTGCGATGCAGCTGCTAAGATGCATGCAATGCGAAACTTACGACACAAACTTCAAATGTGGTGCGGGATGTTAAAAACTGTGTTTGTCAATAAAAACAACAAAAACTATTACACAGCTAGCAGCATAACTTTCACATTCGTCTACCATCTACCGAGCGATGTGACTAGCAGACAACCGGTCTTTGAATTTACGTACACTTTTTGGGTTTTTTATAAAATATTTCGAAAATGGAAAAAACCATGTACATCAAAAATATTATGACCTTTCATTCCATAAAGTTAGTTCCTTAAGTATAAATAAATATATAAAATAAAGTGATGCAGTGCCTAAGGCCATAAAAAAGTAGTATGATGTCTAACATACATACATATCTTGAAAGTGGTCGCTTATGTTCAGATTATCTCCATCCAAAGTGGTTTCACACGATCAGCACAATTCTTCGTACTCCCGGGGAGATCGTTCTCCGAGAATTCGTTTTTCCCAAAAAAAGAAATCCTCCAATAGTTAATTCCCAGGGAGTAGCATTTTCCCGAACATTTGGGAGGAGGAAATTTGAATTTCGAAAAAGCTGTTTGACAAATTTTTGACACCTCAACTCCGACCTTTAATATAAAAAATCGTCAGGGAATTTTTATTAATGATAGGAGGAAAGGGAAAAAGAGAAAACTCCCAGGGAGTTTCTGTTCAGAATCGGCCTATAGATGCCACTTTTTACATATGGAATATGGAAAGGCAGCATACCGTGTAAACACGAATAAAACACAAAGCAGAGACAATGTCATCTGTTGGGTGGTTTATTTCGTTTTCAAAGAACGTAATTTTATATGCTATAAATTTAACAAAAAGATACAAATAGTACATATCGTGCAGAATCACTATACTAACGACCAAGGTTAGAGCTACGACAAGCCTAAATCGGAGTAAATAACATGAAAAATCGCAGCAGAAAATAAAGTTCGTTTACATATATTTAGATATACATATATAATAAAAATACGAAAACTTAGTTAATTCTTTTTAAATAACTTATTTATGTCATAAATTAAAAATTACACATGCCTGCGAAATTTAACTGTATTTGCCCCTTCCGATAATTATGTTATAGTTTCAAATCTGTACGTTAAACTTAAATACAGCGTTGTTTTTTTTTTGTACCACATCGACATACATTTTTTATGACATGCATATTTTAGGATTTTTAACAATTTTCATGCAAAGCCAAAATATAATCAAACTATTGGAATTATTCGCAACCAATATTTTGGAATAAAATGGAAATAAATTAACTCAAGTATTTGCTTCAGGAGTTTGTTTTATTGCAGTAACTGCGGATGTGAAATTTTAATTGAAACCTTACAAAACTTCTTTGAAGACAATGTTAGAAATGATAAAGTGATCATTATTATTTTTTTTTTTGGTTGAATGTTTCTTAGATACCCACATAAATATCGTTAATTCTGCGAACTCTTGAAAAAGCCACGTATAGCTAGCTGCCCATGCGAAAAACAGGTTCCGCTAGATACAACCTTGCCCTTTGAAGCGTCTGACATTGTGCTTTATTGATTGTCATAGGAATGGCTACTTCTAAAGGCATGACTGGAAAATTAATTGATTGGGTGGTAAACAGTGATAGGACTTAAAAAATATTTGTGTAGTAGAATCTGCAAAAAAATGTGGTAGATTTCAAAAAATCGTGGTAGATCTCAGGTTTTGGATCATACATTATATAACAATTCAAAAAAATACTGCACGGTTTCACCTAAATAAATTACAAACATTTTAATTGGAATCTATAAAAAAATTTAATTTTAGTTTAATAAAATGCAAGATTGAAGTTGCTAAAAATTGCGTTGAGTTTTGGCAATTTTTTTTCCTTGACAGTGTAAAGCAAATATATTAAAATATTTTTTTTTGGAAGCAACAACAAAAAGTTTGGATTTTTTAGCGAAAAACCTTCCACACAGAAGTTCCAAAAAAGTGCGATTGGTTATGTTTGGAACACACTTAATTGAATGTCAATAAATGAATTGAATATAAATTGTATAAATGAATTAATTGAATGTCAATTGAATGTCAATGTGGCAACTCTCTAATTTTTTTCTTCTATATTGTAAGCTAGATCTCTAGCGATACATCGGTGAAAACTGCATTCAATTCCATGTTTTCGAGTGATGCGCGTTACAGACAGACAGAGATTCAAAAATCCTAAAAATGGTATATTTGGCTTCTGTAGCTCTAATAACTACCCACCATATTAATTTTTCTTTAATATCTATAAGGTACTGACATCGGCCTGTTACAATTTTATTATAAGTATAGATATAGATTTCATTTATTTTATCAATTTAATACAATACAATTTTTCAAACAGGTGGCAACCCCCCTTAAAAATATTTTCGGGAGTAAAATTTCCGAAGCCTCTTCAGTTTGAACCCATATTGCAATTTTCAATTTATCTTATAAATTAAATTACATTAAAAATTTTCAAACAGGTGGAAACTCATAAATAAATATTTTTGGCTGTAAGCCTTCTTAAGCCTCTTTCTTTTGACGCCCATATTGTAATATATTTACTTTTTCTTATCAATTTACTTACACCGCAATTTTCAAACATGTGGCAACTCTCTATTTTTTTTCTCTCTATATTTTAATTTGGACCTCTAGCAATACATCGGTGAAAACTGCATTCAAATCCATGCATTCGTTTTCGAGTGATGCGCGTGCAAACATACAGACAGACAGACAGACAGACTGACAGGCAGACAAAAATTCTAAAAATGGTTGATGGCTCTAATAATGACCTGGGGGGTCATAATTTTTTCTTTAATATGTATAATGTCCAGACATCGACCTGTTACAATTTTATTATATGTACAGATTACTACAATAAATATGCATACATGTCTGTTGTTTAAAATAGTAAAAAGTATATTATTTAATTGTCCATTGCAGCAAAATCGGTGAAAGACGAATTTTTAGGAGGGGATCAAAAAACGAAAATAACTGCAATGTTTGTTCCGGCCAAATCAAACAAGTTGATTCCAACAGGTAAGCAATTTTGTGAGATTATTTCTTCTATTTTTTTTTTTTTTTTGCAACTGCTAATTTGGTTTTGTGTGCCCCTTGCAACTACTAATTGAATGTACATATCGCTCGTTTGCTGGAAAATGTGAAAAAATTAAAAATCAGAGAAAACTGGTTTCAAATTTTTTAGCCAGGTTTTTCCATTTGGAAATTAAACAAAAATACATACATACAATAATTATAATCATAAAATTTAACTCGGAGGCCATTTATTTTTGGTTCCTTATCGCCTGTTAATAAATTGCCTCATGTAAATGCATCTTTAGCTTTGCATTAGAGTATGCTAGTGTGCTAATAGCCCCGCCCGCAGAGAAACGTAAATTTTGGCGACAGTGCGGTCTCGTACAATTCCCCGTATCCGGAAACTTACAGAAACCGACCACAATTTTCGTTCATTTAGGTATCCAAAAACGTTCGAAACGTTCGAAACGTTCGAATAGATGAAAGCAATAATTGTATGTAAAAGGGTCAAGAAACAAATTGCCATTATTTCGCGTGTGTGTCCAAGGAATTTTGACATTTTTTATACCTCACAGCCTGTTGCCTCACTCTTTCCTCAAGAAATAATGGAACGGGCGTATATTTCTGTTGCAAGCAAAAACTTTAGAGAACCGTAGTAGAAAGCGTAGCAAATTTCCTAAGAACTGCGTACTGCTTCAAGAAAATTTTGGCACAAGAAAATTTCTTAGCCATTTCTTGTACGTCATTCTATTTATATGGAGTTTTTGCTTTTCTTGAGAGCTGCATACTGGCATTTAAGCTGAACATTTGAAAGCATCTATACATCGGCAGTGACTGAAGGTGCAGAGGAGTTTGCCTGTTGGTTAGTTTTCAGAAGGTGCCGGGTTCGAATTCCGTCAGGCGCTTTCTTAATTTTTATACCCGAGCGCACCTGAGCACAAGGGTATACTAATTTTGTTCACATAACGGTTGTTTGTAACAGCCAAAACGAATCGAGATAGATATAGACAAATGTATACATAAATGCTCAGAATGAATAGAGAAATCGATTAAACCATGTGTGTCCGTCCGTCCGTCTGTCCGTCCGTGGACACGATAACTCGAGCAAAAATTGAGATATCTCAACGAAATTTGGTATGTAGGTTTCCCTTAATCCAAGGTAGGTTGGTATTGAAAATGGGCGAAATCGGACTTTAACCACGCCCACTTCCCATATAACGGTAATTTCCAGAAATACGAAAACTGCGATATTTTAGTAACTACTGAAGATAATTCACTCAAAATTGATATTTACAATAATTTTTAGACGAAAAATAAGAATATTATAAATTTTTGGAAAATGGGCGTAGCCACGCCCACTTATGGTTACATGTGTATATCTTGGTAACCGCTGCACCAATTTCTTCCAAACTTGGCACAGTTGTTGGCCTTGGAACAGCATATTAAATGGCTGAAAATTTAAAAAAACGGACAATAACCACGCCCACATCCCATATAACGGTAATTTAGAGAAATACAAAATCTTCGATAAATCAGTAAATATTGAAGCTAATTCGATTGAAGCTAATTTATTCAAAATTGATGCTTGCAAAAATTCTTTACCAAGAAATACGTTAATGGTATGGGCGTGGCACCGCCAACTTATGATCACATATGTGTACATATATCGGTAACTGTTCAACCAATTTGTACCAAACTCGGTATTTTTATTGTGCTTGCCACATAAAAGCAAAACGTTGAAAATTATTGAAATCGGACTAAATTACGGCCGCTTTTCATATAACGGTAAATTTCAGAAATGCTTGAAACTTCAATATTTCGAAATTTAAGGACGCTAGTTTATTCAAAATTGATATACCCCGGCTTACCATCTAGCGGTAGCTTTCGAAAAGGTTAAAAAACATATATTTAATACTTGGGCCGGGTATTTATTGTTCGTCTCCACCCGAACTTAGACTTTCTTACTTGTTTGAGTTGTAATAGTGCTTTTAGTAAAAAAGCGACGGGCACAGACCTCTGCTAAATTTCATCTAGCCCTCTGATAAACTTTTAACTTTTTCTTATAATTTTAAGCTTTGTCACGTGTTACTCATGCAACAGAAGAATATGTCGTGGTGCGAATTGCTCGATTTGGTTGGCGAAATCGGGACAATGGGAATGTCAATTATGTAACTCCTCGAAGGAGTCGCTAGCACACACTCAGTCTTGGGTTGCCGAGCAAATGAGCTTCAATCATCAGAAGCTTGTTAGTCCTCTGAGAGCGCGAAGTGAAATTTACATACCGATTGGCGATTTTAATGAAAGTTCCATACGTAAGTATAGCAAAAAGCTACAAGCTTTTATTTACCGAACAAGTAAATAAAGCACATAAGCAAATATTGAAACTGCATATTTCTAATAGATTTTTACTTAATTGCAGATTTTGAAAGTGTTAGCCAAGTGGGTATGAATCTTGATGTCATCCCCGCCGAGCAAAAGCTTAAAATACGAGAGTATGTGGAGGAAGTGGTGGCCAAGCTGTTGGGTGGTTCACTGGATCAAATACGCGTCAATCAATTGTCGAAAAGTGAGACTTGTAAGTATATGCATGGATTAGAATTGGATTTTTTAGTTCACTTATAGTGCGTTCAGCTCAATGAACTAGCTCTTCTGAGTCTTTGATCGTTCACCTAATTGAACTATAGTTCACCTAATTGAACTAGTTCGGTAGTAGGAACTGAGTTACAAAACAACAAAAATGTATGTTTTATAACACATATGTACATAATATAATGCAGTAACGACACAATCCAGTCGTCTTCATTCATTCGTCTTTCTCCAAAATCACGAAAGAATTTTTATAGAAATTCGGCAGTGTCTTCATTTAATTTTCTTTTATTCAATTTTGCCTTCGAAATGCGAGAAAATTGCGTATCGCTTTTACATCTGAAAGAGAAAGTCTTTTGTTAAACAACAAATCTCAAAGACTCAACAAAAATACTTACTCTTTAACGCAAATTGCACTAAACGATGTAGAACATTGAAAATTAAATGAAATAAAATGTCTTTTTAGCGCGAATTCCGATTAGCTGTTTATTTATGCCCTTACAACGATATGTGTTATAAAATTACATTCCCATTTTTATTGGAGTGTTGCCACAGAAAGCTTTGGTTCACTTTAATGATCGAACTAATGAACTAGTTCAATTGAAAGATCTGGCTCTTCCGCTCTTTAGTTCAAAAGCGCCCCAAGCTTAGTATGTATGTATGTGATTACAGATTATCTGTATTTAGCATAATTTTAAGATAGTTCATACACACACGTCACCGAACTCCGACATACTATACATATCTTTAGTAGGTATAGTTTAGAAAGGGCGTAACTCACATCTTCGCTGAAATACAAAAAGCCCTAACTAAAAATCCAAAATTCACTTGATTGATTGATTAGTGATGCATTTCATCGGATTATAAGTCCCTACATTGTTTTATGCAATAAAAAATTTTAATTAGTTCTGACTTTTTTTTTTTTGCACTGAGCGACGATGTGAGATACGCGTTTCCATACTATTCCTATACCATACTATGCCTGGTTGGTATTCAATACCCTCTGTCTTCAATTTTCACAAAAATCGACACGGATGATATAAGGTCTTGTTAGAAGCATTTACTATATTAAAATTTTCAACCTTTTATTCAGGAAATCTACTTTTATATGAAATAAAATGCGCAAGACCCTCGAAAAAAGATTTCAAAAATCAACGGGATTTTTCAGAATTTTATAACTTCCACTTTATTATCCTAAAATTGAATAGGCTACAAAATTGCATACATTATATAAGAAGTTTTTAAAAATTCTGAGAAAGCGAATAATTTTAATGGCATTTTTTTGAAGTTTGTTAAACTTTCTTGAATTGTGCACAAAGTTTAAAATTTTGACTTTTGTAGTTTATGTCATAGATTTTGCTATATATTTATTAAATATTTCGGAAAATAATTATTACGTAAAACATTGTGAATATTGTAAAAAAGAAAAGTGTGCTATTTACGTACATATGTATGTATTTTATTGCTACGCCTACATGTTTTTAATTATTTGTTTTAATTTGGAAACGCTGAAAGTATCGCTTGAGAGACTTGCCATTGTATACTTTATAGAAGAAAGTTGAATAAAATATTTTCATTTTATTTGTTCTCGAATAAATTACTCACTTCATGAACTACTCAACTCTAATACAAATGAGTTTTCTAATGTATCTCACCTCTCGTTTTAAATATTCTCATGTGGACATGGCCCATACAGACTTACAGCTCTTTGAGCGATATCACTCAAAACTGAGTAACATTTTTATCAACTTGGAAAATGAGTTGAGCAATAAAGCTCTTAATGGAGGTGAGTTTGCTGGTAAAAGTTTTCCAAGAAGCTTTTTAAACCAGTTCTCTATTATAACTATTTAAAGCGTATTTCGAATTTTGATGCTTGCGATCGATTGAGGATGCTTCTAAAGTTATGCATTGCTCCAATGAATAATAGCATGCTTTCGTTAATTGTAAATTAATTAAATGTAGCACTATGCTGATTTGCATGTAATTTACTCGTATTAAACTTGCTGGCCGTATATGTAGCCATTAGGTGACACTTCGTATGGCTAAGTATTAATTATACGCCAAGGCACACCCTCCTTGCTGTGTGATAGGCTGGAATTATTTTGCGGAGTTTTGTTGTCGAAAATTCACTGGGATTTCATACCAAAAGACCTTCGTTGTATTATCGCTCGTATCTGCAAAATGATGAGGTGCCATAAAATTAATAGTAAATAAGTAATAATAGTTGAATCTCATATACATACATACATACTTATGTATATCTAGTAAATTCAGTTAGAACACCATTCAAAACATTTAAAGTAAATCAACCCTTTAGCTCTTTGTGAAACGTTTGAACTATCACACATTTCATATGTACATAGTGGCCATATTTACACACGTACATATGTATGTAAATTAGACAATTCCTGCAGCAAGGAAAATGAATGGAAAGTTTCCATTTGGACGTAATGTAGAAACATTCATCTTCGTTGCTTAAGCAGGGATAACACGATTTGTATATTTGTACAGATTTGTACATTTGACAGTTACAGAGTGGTTTTGCTTGGACATTGGAAAATATTGGGCCTCTTGCATAAAAAATGAGCTTAAGCTCCGACTCGATTTTCAGTACAAATTCTTCAGCTTACGCTCCACTCCATCAGTGCAAAAGTTGAGTCTGAGCTTAAGCTCATCTTTTATGCATGACGCCCATTGTTTCAACTCCCCTTCTTAAAGAAAGTGTGAGGAAGTTTACTGAGGAGCTTTCCCCGCGCATTACATGGATAGCGAGGAGGAAAGCTGCCCGCTAATATCATCGTATGTAAAAAATTAAATTAACTGTCTAACGAAAGCTAATGCTTCCATGATTCTTTGGAAACTGTACAGCATGCATGGAGGAATGTTTCCCTTTTCTAGAGGGATATGTCGGAACTAAATACTAATAAGGCATTCGCTCACTCAGTAATGGGGGGAAAGATTGTCGTATGTTAATTTCGGCAGGTTGTGGGAAATCGCGATTGAAGTTTGGAATGCAATTTCTCAAAAACGCAAAGTCCCAAGTCTCTGAAAATGTTACTAGTTCACAAAATTCTTAAATTATTTAATTTTTAATGTTTATTATTAATTAGTTTTGAATTTATGAAGGATTTCCTTTAGTAAAATTTTGCCATAAGCGGCATTTGTCCACAATTTGGCAGCCACTTTGTATGAAATACGAAAAACTGTGATCAAAATTTCTACTAAATTAACGACACTTTTTACTCAATATCTCGGAAACTAAAGGAGATATGCAAAAACTGATAACACCAATCGAAAGACCTTATGTAAAAATATATAACTGCATCTAGAACTAAAAATCGTCAAAATTGCGCTTACGACAATCTATTCCCCAGGCGACGAGGTGGGTTATGGTCTGATTATGCATACTTCGCATAAGTTCGCACAACTTCGCATAAACTTCAAACTGTAATTTCGTATGTACTTTGTATCTAATTTGTATGTATTCCATTACCCAGAAATTAGCAGAACTTTTAAAAACTTAGCGATCTGTTGAGTTTAGATTTTGCTTCACATTTTCTTAAGTTACATTTTTATTGCACTGGTACAAATGGTTGTGCGAAGTTATGCGAAGTATGCATAATCAGACCCTTACTAACACCTTTGCGTTTATGTTTGCTTTTCGGTCACACTGAGTTTGCCGGGTATATACGCATGCGTACGTTTGACAAATAAGTAGAATATACAAATTCTTATGACAGCAGCTAAGTTGAACCTACGCATGAAACGTATTTTGACTTCCATTCGTAAATTTCAAACGCACTCATATACATATACATACATACATATAACTACATTCGCATGCTATAAAGGACCGCTTTTGCAGATACTTTCTCAGTTTTAAGATTTTAATATTAAATTTACATTGAATGAAAGGCTATTGCATAAATAAATATATGAAGATAATACGTATATACCTTAATTTCTTTCGACATTTGGTTTACTTTACAAAGGAAAGAAGAAAAAACTCGAATCTAAAAATCTACGGGTACAAAAGCAAACAGCAAATGAGGAACATTTATTTCAAGAAATTGACTCATGTAAAACTTTCAGAGGCAAAAGAAATTAAACAGAATTTTTCTTTTTATTCTTTAAATTGATTAATTACCTGGTATAAGTGCAGAATACGTACATTTCTCTGATTTAAAAAAAATTTATATTTGGATCGATAGAGGTGTTAGTCCTAATCATAACGGTATTACCGGTCAATGAAGGTCAAAGAATCAATTTCTTTTAATTGGAATAACCAAAAAAACTATTGTATTAATAACAAAATATTTTGATGTCGTTTGAAAGGTATTAAAAACATCTTTTTTTATACATAGATGTTTTCCTTTTTTTGTAAGGCTTATGAGAAAAATTAGTTTTTATAAAAAAAAATATTACAAAATTAAAAACCAAATGATTTTTATTATTAAATTACGTTATTGTCAACATATAAACATTTATTTCAAAATGTGTTCAGCCCCTCTTCTTCGGCAACACAGAATGGATAATTCTACTTTGTCAGGGTTATAATCCCTAACCTCGGCCGAAGGCCACCTACGCAGAAAGAAGTTCTGCGTAAAAGTACTTGCGATTGTTCAGATAAGACATGTTGTAGTGAAATCAAAGCTCGATTTACATGCTTTCTTACAGTGATATTTATATATAATGTTAATAAAGTGATTTTTAAAGAAAAAAGTACATTTGTTAAAAAAAAATATTTTATAAAAACTGGTTTTTTTAATTAATTAAATTATCAATAAAGAATATCATTGTTGTATGTCAAAAGAGAGGTATTTTTATTACCTTTCAACCGGCATAGAAATTCTTCAATCAATAATAGCTTACGAGATATTTTATTTTAATGAAATCCATTTTTTACTTCTTGACCTTGAATAAAACTTAAATTTTTTGTTTCCGCCAAAAAAAAAATTGTAATCTGTATAAATTCCTCTATAGAGTTTTTTTTTTTTTTTTTTTTTTTNTGCGCTGATACCGGCCATGGCGCAAATTTGCTGCGTTAGCCAGGCCTATGCATGAGCATACATACATTTCACTGCCTACAGCGCACACACGTTCACCCGATTTTTATCGAAAGCACGCACGCTGAGAACAATATTTGTATTTAAAAAACTGTGTACCCTAATGCTTGCTTGAATGACTTTGGGCCATTCCATTGTGACTGGTGGGACATTTTACTCCAGAATGTGATCAATTTGGAATTATAACTATGTCGTCGGAACTTGCAGAACAGCGAATGATATTTTCTGACATAGAACGATAACGAATGTATAATATTGCTTTAATAAAAATACCAAACGATTACTTAGTTCTATGTACATAACTATCATATGAATAAATCCCACCAGTCGGGACACTTGTGCACTCAAAAATTAATTTTAGCCAAAACACTTAATTTTCGCGAAAGATAAAATATGAACTATACGCTTTCGTTAAAAAAAAAAAGAAGAAAAATATGTAAATTTGTGACTGGTGGGACATGTCCTTGTGACTGGTGTAAAGTAATTATGCATGAAGTAAAGGTTTCCATGGACTAAAATTATAACTTCTTTTTATTTTTTAATATCCTTCGACTGATAAATGAAATGTAGTAATTTAAGAAGAGGTCACTACTGAAATAGAGATAACTGGGACATTTTAAAATTTATATCATTTTCATGTTTTACATGGAATGGCCCTTTCTATGTTTGAATGCTCGCGTTAGTGACGTTTCACACATTCCGATCGCCGGTTAGCCAGTGTTTTTGTTGTTTTCATACTAGGCGACTACGGGGGCGAGCACAGGTAGGGTTTGGGGCATTCAACCTCGCGTGCCCCCTCCGAAATGCCTGCGGAAGATTTTAAGAAAATTTTCTTTTCATTTAGTTAGTTGCGTAAACCAAGGCACTCCTTAAAGTATGTATGAATTTTCAACTATTTGCAAAACTCTGAAACAAAACACGGTGAATGAACACAAGGTTGTGCACAACAAACACATCATTTCGACATTCCGAACACCGCTGCGAAAATCTCAGATGCTCTGGTAACAGCATATTGCATGAATTCGCCTTGAAAATAACAAAATCCCTAAAAGTATTTTCGAATTTGCATAAATTGCACAAACTACAGTGACAGCCGAAAATTCACTTGACGAGTATCAACTAGTGAAAAAACTAAGACACCCCGATGCTGAGGACCTTAGTACACCTGATTTTAGAGTAGTTCACCGAGTCCCACAGTTCCCAGTAAATAATGATGAGGTAGATAAAAATCCTATTGGAATTTTGGTTGAGACCAAAAAATGGTCCCTTCTCTAAATTTAAACAAATTTTGACCACCATTTTTTTTTCAAGATGCTGGGTAATTTCAGATCCCTCTGCGTCCCGAAAATCAAGTTTTACATGCCCTGTGACCTAATTTACATATTCATGTTTGTTTGACAGAGAGTTTGAGAGACAGAGTAAAAATGTCGCTGGGACCACCTTGGGACACGTCCTAAAAAATCAAAAAAGGTTGAAATTGTATCGTTTTATCTGAATGACTATTTATCAAAGTTACAAAACGCGAAAATAGCAGACAGCTCATCATGAGTGCAGCTAGTTTCGGTTATTATTTAGACGTCTTATCAGTGTTATAAAATGTGAGGAGCTAGTTCACATACATTTTTGATAAGATCACTTTTCTTCAATATACTATACATACATATGCACATATGTAAGTATATACATTAGGGCGGGTTGATTTTTTTATTTTAATCGTATA